TACCTGATATCACCAATAATGAAGTGAAATCATGAATACCATACCTGGTTCTATACCTGATATTCTCAATAATGAAGTGTGCCAGTCAGTGATATGATTCAATCTATATATGGAAATAGAAATTAAATCATTAGATCATCATGTAAATCTAGATAATGTTTCACGTGTAAACTTTTTTATGTGTAGTCTTCTGTATAAGTGAGTAGTAGATAAACTAATCAGGGAAGTATATTTATAAAATATCTAACAATCGGATGATTATCATAGCCAAATATTTTTGGTATTTCTTAATGTCAATTAAAATGTGTGCCTGTCCAATTTTCGCAAGCTCAACCTATCCTTCGTTTGAAAGTTGATAACTTGATAAGTGACCATTTCCGGAACAACGATGTGCAAGATATATACTATATATATGCTATGCTTCATAATGTCAAAGATTATAATATTACTGGTTGTTCACATATCCCTGTCTTTGTCAGCATTGTGCCGTGTGCCATGGCTGGAACTCTTGTACCACCTTCGTACAGAGTACTTGCGGCTCCACGAAGAGGTAAATTCGTCCCTTGAGTGAAATAAAATGCACCATTCTGAAATGAAGATAAGCGTACAATAGCATGTGGTTAGTTACAATAAAGACATACATTGTGGTTGGTATTGAAGCAGTTCTTGATAATACAGTTGCTCCAGACAATCCAACTCAGCAAATTTAGCAGATTTATTTGATGAGTAACATATTGTATACAATCGGGAAACAGCGCCATTACACAGGCATCAATAATGGGTATATGTTGTAACCAGATTCTGATATTTTTATACTGGGAATGCTGAGGGTTGCGTGTTCTTTAAAAATAAAAACCCATGAGATTAATTTCACATTAGCATACATTATTGCTACAGTGGTATACATACGTCGCTGATGAAAACCAACAAAGTCTTGTCCCACATACCACGTGACTTCAAGGCCTGGGTCACGTTACCAATAGCGTCATCCATCAACGATATCTTCGCTGCGTAAAACAGAAAAAAAAACATAATTTAGGAATGAGCAGATGACTACTATGATTTTTTTGTCAGAATACCTTTTGTTACCTAATCATTTTTTAGTCACATTAAATATACGAGAATATACGTCATTTCCATGACGACACAAACCATAATAATTCCTGACTTGTTCATTTTCTATATTTTCATACAGAGCTGTGTATTCTGATGGCACCTACAGGATAATCGACGGATAAACATGACCGGTCAATATTTATAGAATATTTTCTGTTTCAAATAAGTGTTACAAAACTAGAACTCGTGTTTTAGATCGAAATGCCATTTTTATAATTTGAGAGTTTGCATGGGCTATAGACGAGTCGAATAATTCAGATACACAAAATTCAAGCAATAAGCTGTTCCATTGGCCAGCAATGAACATGTAAACGTAACCATGGTCAACATAGACAAGTGAACAATGATGGCCAACTAAAGGTTTACATAAAAGCCATAGTCACGAGGTTCTACACACTGTGCAACGTTTTCATAATGGTATATGTACTTACATCATATCCTTTGGCTGGTTGATCAATCGAAAAATAGAGAAATAGTGGATATGCCGGATAATGTTTTGATATGATGTCCACTGCACGACTAGCCAGAAGAATCTGAATATATAAAATATATAGTTTGATCAATTTGAGAAAACATTACTTGTATTACATCTTGCTACAATCTACGTATTACTTGTAACACATATCACAGTTGGCTACAATGTATGTATCACTTGTATCACATCTTGCTACACATGAATAGTTGCAGTTCGTAATGAATACTATACTAAATGGATTCACATACGGTTGAATATGTGCCGTCGTCTTGTACCACCCCAGTGTTGTCACGGAAGTCGTAACCATACCAACTAGCTAGTAGATAAACAAAAAAGTATATATTTTAATCATTAAAAGTATTATTTCTTATAAATAAAGTGCTTACTTTAATGAAGCAAAGCATCTATATCAATTTATTTGCGTATATCATCTAACTTGTAAAATGCTAAGTGGTTCACATTTATTTACTACATTAGCTTGTACATACCATCACCTCCAACCATGCCCCTGCCCATTTTAGTAACATGGGAAAGGAGCCCACCAAGGTTACCGTACGCAGAATCAAAACCTCTTTGTAGCGGAGTGTAAGCCCAATTACAATAACCAAGATGCCACCTATGGCAACACAGAGAAAGACTGTTAACTCATGACAACGGCAGATAGTGCATTAGTATTGCTACAAGTACAACACACTTCTACACACTGCAAAGGTACTTTATTCATGACAGTGAATGACGGGAGGTTGTCATATTAGGCCATAACTCCATATGTACTACACACTCCTATAGCCAACAACACAAAGAAAAGTTGTTTACTTGTAGGTCATTATTACCACATGTACAACACAATCTTATAGAACATTACACGTTGTTTGTAAAAGACTCACTTTCCAACAAGATGAGTGATGTATCCAACTTCTTTCAATTTTTGCGGTAATAATTTTAACTTCAATGGCAGACCGCTTCCTTGTGAAAACGTGATTATTTTTTGCTAGACGAACAAACAAACAATCTACAGTTAACACTATTTATTTAAATAAGCCGTTTGTATACTTGCATGAGTAATGTAAACATTTTAAAATAAATATTAATAGCAAACAAAAGTTTAATGTTGTTTTTTTGTATATGTTTGGACATAAGAGACCACACTTTGGGAAAATATAACTTGATACATTCTAATTTGTAACAATTATGCATTTGTGAAATGTCACATGCTCTTCGTACCTGCATGCCAATATGGAATGGATAATAACCTGTCATAAGAGCGGCTCTGGTTCTGTATGTACAAGAATGACATGTATTGGAAAACAATTACATACTAGTAATAAAACAATAATAATGCATGATGGGACATAAAAAAACACAGGGATAGCCTTAGTCAATATTACTAATAATAATAGGCAAAACATATATCAGTTTGACATCACGTGACGAGAACAAGGTTCCGTATTTAACCGAGTGTAATAATTAACAGTTAATGATTTGATACAAGAGTAGAATTTATTTTTATATCAATTTCATAGGTCCAGTTTATGTATATGATTTCACATGTGATGCAGGTGTTAGGGAAATGCAAACCACTTGATGCTCTGTTTGATGAACAAAATCCATTATTGATAGGTAAAAATTAAGGGGAAATTGAAAAGTAGGTCAATTTTAATTATTAATAAGTATAATTACCTCAGATATGATGTTTGAAGAATAACCGCATTACACCAAAGATAATTTGTGAATTGTATTAAGAGTAATAAGTATTGTGTAATAACTTTTGAAATAATCGTTTTTTAATTCACTTCTCTATACCCATTGCCGTAGGCTTAGTGTTGATGAACAACAACCATATCTCATCAGCGTAGAAACTATTCAGGATTAGCAGAGAATTAATTAGACTGCTAATTAGACATGTGATACTATATGCATATTATATGCAAATTTATTAAGTATTTAATTATATGCAATTTATATAAATGCAAAGTTCTGGAGACTTTAAAAAGTACTGGGATAATCCATAATTGTATCTCAGTTTTCCAAAAAAATCATGGTCAGTTTTTAGTTTATATACGGATCTTGGAATTTAAAAATAATTAATACCTGTTGAGAAGTACATCATCATGATCACGTGATGTACCTTTAGTCTACGAGATACGTTCAAATGTGGAACCTTCACGGCTTGATTGTGTATAAACAATTTGAGTAGAGTCGGTTGATATGCTCTCAGTACCGGACATGTTTTTGGTTTTGAACTGCGCATGCATGAAACGAGTTATAGATAAAATGTAGTTCTATTCAGTTAGCTAGCAATTCTGACAACTGTATTCCAGATTTCTAGCTTTATTTGATGTCAGTGACTTTGACTTTGACTTATATATCACAAGAATCTGAGTGGTGACAGCTAATGGTCACCTATGCTGAGTGGTAACAGCTAATGGCCACCTATACTGAGTGGTAACAGCTAATGGCCACCTATGCTGAGTGGAGACAGCTAATGGCCACCTATGCTGAGTGGTGACAGCTAATGGCCACCTATGCTGAGTGGTGACAGCTAATGGCCACCTATGCTGAGTGGTGACAGCTAATGGCCACCTATGCTGAGTGGTGACAGCTAATGGCCACCTATGCTGAGTGGGACAGCTAATGGCCACCTATGCTGAGTGGTAACAGCTAATGGCACCTATGCGGAGTGGTGACAGCTAATGGCCACCTATGCTGAGTGGAGACAGCTAATGGCCACCTATGCGGAGTGGTGACAGCTAAT